AAAAAAAAATTCCGTTAAAACAACCAATTCCGTTAAATTTTCCGTTAAAACAAGAATTTTCGTTTCATATGCACTCTTTATATATATATATATATAGAAGATATATATAATTCTTTAAAAAATGACTTTTAGTATTAGTTTTAAATGATTACACTCGTCCCATAAAACTATGTTTGTTTCTATTTTCACGATTCACACAAATTAAGAAAATGTAATTACTATAGTTGAAAATATAAGTTGTTCTTACATTTTTCCTAGTATACCCTACATTGAATAATGATTGTTAATAATAAGGTAATTAAATAGAGATATACTAGAAAACTAAAAAAATATCTATATTTTCAATAAGGAATGTTGTTTATAATTTGAGACAGACGAAAAAAAAGTACAAATTTATCTTTATGGGATGGAGATAGTAATATTTGTTAGCTACTGCAATCGTGTGTTATAAATAACATCTAAAAAGCATAAAATGTGATAAAGGTGTGTTTGACACCCATTTTTTTAAGATAAAAATTTTTAGAATAATGATTGATGGGAGAAAGCGTGATGGAAAAGTTATGAAAAGTTTTAGATTTTTGCGCAATATTATTTTATTGGAAGAATGTGTGGTTGAAATGAAGTAATAAAAAAAATGAAAGTGAGAATGAAATAAAGAATGAGTGCCAAACATGAGCTAAACAAATTCTAGACAAAGTCTAGACAATAAGGCCAAATGTCACGTTTAAGGGAAGCTTAGATGAACTTTTTATAACACACACACACAATGGTTATAAAAAGCATATGCAACACGCTGAATTAGGTGAAAACTTGCATTTACTGATTTTTAAATTTTTATAGAAAAAGATGTAGTAGTACTAGAATGTACACGACGGTCAATTTTGTTTGTTTATTTATTAAAATTAAGGATTAGGTATAGATGCCTTTTTTAAAGTTAGCCAACAAGGGCCACGGAGGAGTAGGTGAGGTTGCATATGGGTGGCTTTATATTCAGTCAACACGTGCACCAAACACAGGTATTCAATTCTGCCAACTCATGGTGTCACCGACACCCTGTTTGCGCAGAATTATTCCACTAGTTAATGTAGGCGGCTCGAAAAATGGGTTCGGTGGAGTGTGGGAATAAAATTAGACTTGATCCGTATTATTTTTAAAATTCATTTTTCACCATTTTATTTTTAATTACATTTTTTTAATAAAATAATATTACGTGCAAATTCAAAAATTTAACCAGACATTCACCATCAAATCACTATTTCAAAATGTATTTTTGTAAAAAAAAAAATGGGACCAAAAAAAATTACAAAATAACGTTGAAATTTCTCTCCGTGTAATTTGTATAGGATAGATTTGTTGAGAAAATTCATGTTTCATGCAATCTAATTCCACGGAGAAAATAAATTAGAAGACGAAAGAAAGAAAAATTGATACAAAACGAAGTTTCATCAAAGCTAGAATTAAGGCTATGTTTGGTATCAATTCTCATTTTCAACAGTAAATCAATTCTCATTTTCAACCACACATTCTTCAATAAAATAATATTTTTTATCACATCACTAATCTTATCTTCTTTTTCAACCACACATTTCCTATCATATCACTATTCAAAATCAATTCTTCCCCCAAAAAATCCATACCAAACACACACTAAAACTAGTAGGGTAAGCTAAATATGTGCTCACGTACAAGAAAAATAGGATAGAGTAGCTTAGAGAGCTTTCCAAAGAAGCAAGAGAAAGACGTTTAAAATTATATAAGGCGTGATTAATTGTGAGTATGAAATTTGCATAGAAATAAAATAAATTTAAATTTCAACTTATAAAATATTATATTTGTTCAGTGTTTATTGATGGGTAAATGGTGAGAGAGAAGTTGATGAGAGAGAGAGTTAGTGAATTACTTGGAAAATAAAAACCACCCTTCCTAAAAAAAATATTTTCCCTTGTCTTTGGGAAAAATATTGTCAGATGACCAAAAGTTGAAAAATATTTTTTTCACGGAAAAGCTGTCAATAAAACAGCCAAAAAGTAGGAATTTTTGTGAAAAATGACATTTTCTTTGGAAAATAGTGTTTGATTGCATTTATTTTTCATGAAAAATTTTAGTTTTTCATCCAAATTCCTACGTTTTATTCATTTACTACGGTATATAGTGCCTCTCATGTTTAGTTGATGTAATTTTAATATGAAAAAAATTAATAGAAAATATCTGCTAAGACCAACGGTTAACTTGACAAGTGATTGCTTAATTTCGCGCTTACCGTCAAGGCGAACCATTTCGTTTGCACCTCTTGTCTAGATGCGCTTTTAGAACACCGCTTCTTTCCATTCACACTACAAGCGTGCCAGACGTGCATTAAGCGGTCAACTTGACAAATGATTGCTTAATTTCGCGCTTACCGTCAAGGTGAAGCATTTCGTCCTCACCTCTCGTCTAGACGCGCTTTTTAGAACACCACTTCTTTCCATTCACACGCTCATTTTTCTAGAAAATAAAAGAACTTATTTTGCCTTTCTTTTCTATGAAATTGCAGGTTTACTTTGACATGATTTTCTATGGTGTTGATGGTGAGATATGAAAAAGTGGTGATGATGGCGATGACAATGGCAATGTAGATATGTAATTGATGTGACAATGACAATGAAAATAGGAGGCAACAATGGTTGTGGAAATCGATGGAATGGACTATGTTTTGAATGTGGTGATTTATGGTGGAGGTAGATGGTGGTGGTGGTGTGGATGCTTGATTTGGAGTGTGGTAGTGGTCAGTGGGATTGGCGCAGATTTTCACGTTTGTTGGTTTGTGGTGGAGGCAGTTGGTCTGGTAATGGTGGTGTAGCTGAAGGTGATTGTGTGAGTGGTATACATTTGCTGATTTGGGGAGGTGATCACGGTGTTTGTAGCTTGTGAGTTTGGGAAGGTTATTACAACTATGATGTCATCAATGGCAGTAGTGATGTAATAAGGTAACACAAGAGGCAACGATAAACAATGTAAGACTAAGTGTTACAAGTAGCGGTGATGGTGATTGGAACACATACATTGGACTACGTGTAGCACAAAGTGTAGTATAAAAAAAGAGAGAAAAATAGTATTTTGGTAAAAACATAGGTTGGACATTGTAGTGAAACTTTCCAAAAAATCAAGTCCTATGCGCATAAATTGTGTTTGTCTTGGGTTGCAATTCAAAACTCGACTGGGCTTGCTAGCGTCCAGCTACATGCATTTAATGTAGATCATTGTCTACCGAATGAATATCCAACAAACAGAATACGAAATTCCTACACAAATCAATATCTGTATTCGAACATCGAGGAAAAAAACAAATCTTTTTTGATTTTAAACCTACGGCACATGTTTTCTTGCTGCGGAACATTTTGTCTCAAATCTTTACAATATATTACATTAGATTTTGTGACAAAGTGGATGTCAAATTTTGCTTTGAAAATTCCATTGAGAAATGATCATTTGTGGTAAGGTTCGTCAAACATTTTTTTTGAAGGGAAGAATAGTATGCATTGCCTTTCCATGGTCTTTTTTTTCTAAACCATCATTACTTTGTTAGTGTCAAGCTCAAAACCAAGAATTTGACTATTTACTGATAATAATTCACCTTGTCGGTTGAAAAAATTTACAATTGAAAAACTCTTGGTCACTCGACTATCAATCGAGTTTTATTTTAGAAGTTGTTCGGAAGAGAATTTTTCAAAAATTATTTTTTCTTAAAATCATTTTCAGTCACATATTCAAAAAAAATAAAAAAATATGTTTTTCATGTGGTCCGATAATTTTTCTCTACTTTTTAACCAAACATTTTCCAAAATAATCATTTTTCTCTAGAAAAAATTCTTTCGGAGCCCGTTTGGTACACATTAAAATGAGAGAATGCATTTTTTTGAAGTGATGTAATTGAGAATATGTAGTTGAAAAAGAAGGAAAAATTAATGATGTGTTGGAAAATATTATTTTGTTGAAAAATGTGTGGTTGAAAATGAGTAGAAGGATGAGAATGAAAAAAATAATGTTAAAAAAAAAAAAAATGAAAAAAGCATTTTATCTTGTCAAATATTTAATTTTCAAATATTTTTGGATCAATTTAATATTCTCATTGACCTATCTCGAAATAACTTGGACGTACTATTAACTTGTGCTTATTTGAGACTTCACAAATTGCTCAGGGTACATAATAATAAATATAGAAAAAATTTAAAAATAATTATTCAATTACTCATTTTCTTTGACCCATCCACGAGGAAGTCTATCAATTTCGAGGGATCGCGAATAATGCACGTATTCTCTATATTTTTTTAACAAATAATATAGAAAAACTTAAAAAAATAATTATTCAATTACTCATTTACTACGCGGCTTCAATTTATCAAGTTTAATTTAACTTAAATAACACTAGAGAGTTTTATGTGATGGACGATTTATGATTAGTCGAATTTTCTATTTCTAAGATAGAAGAACTTAAAAAATAATTATTCAATTACTCATACTATGTGGCTTCAATTTATAGAGCTGGCCCAGACTGGAGGCGAAGTAGACGATCGCCTAAGACCCTGCTTTGACAAGAGCCCCAAATTATACAAGGTCAATTGATTGATTGAAGAAAAATGAAAATTTTAATTACGAAATTTTTTAAATTAGAATTATCATATGCAAGCACAATAAACTAATAAAATTTGAAAATATAAATATTTCACATTCGTTACTTTCTCTATATATAATTAACTTGACTCTTTTATCTTTCCAACAATCATTTTTCTTTTTTCTCAATAAGAAATAAAATGTCACTCTTTTCTCTTCAAAATTTATGGAAAGTCTTACACTTATCCAACTTTCTAATGTTAACTAAAATAACATTAGAAAGTTCTATGTGATGGGCAGTTTATGCTTTGTCAAATTTTCTGTTTCGAAAAAAATTTATTTATATAATTTTAATTCAACAATAAATTATCGGTATGTGCATGCAAACGAAAAGATTTTTTTAGGTCGAGAAAGTTTTTTACGATGGACAACTTGTAGGAGGTGAGAATGAATTTTAATTATCGTATGCTACCTACTACATTATTTGACTCGCTAATTTATTATTTTTATCAGAACAATGACTAGTTCAAGCTAGAAAATAATGCAAGATTATAAATAATATCGTTTATAGGGAAAAAGAAATGGCTTGTCAAATACGGTAGAGAATTTTCGCACCCTTTCTATGGAAAAGGATTTCAATGGTCAAAATATGATGAAATTAGAAAAAAAATTAAAAATTTAAAAAAGCTGGAGATAAAATCTAGCCGTTACAACTTTAAAAAACAGGGCGAGTAATCCCCTGTTTCGGAGTGCATTAAAATATGTAGGAAAATGCACATTTGGCCCTGAACCTATTGACTCAGTAACACGTTGGTCCCTAATCCTTAAAGATAGAGTAAATTGATCCCTAATTTTTCACCATAATCGCGCACTCAGTCAGTCATGCGTAAATCATCCAAATATCCATTAAGTTGTCACACAACACTTAAAAGCTCAAACTAAAAGAAAAAAAAAAATCTTACAAATTCGTCTCACTTCTAATTTTTGGATATCCAATATAAAAAGTAAATCTAACGGCATAAAATTTGTCCATTACGGATAGCAACATACTTGATTTCATCCCAACTTTTTTTTAAAGTTAAATTATATTTAAAAAATAAGTAAACATGAAAAACGAGGCACGAAATCGAAATATTTCAATTATTACCCCGCCTCTCGAAACCCTTGATGGGATGGGGTTGGTAGGGCTACCTTGACCCTATTTCCGTTCTTATTTATTTCAGTCTTGTTATATGTACATTAAGGTTTACATAATGTCATAGGATATTATATTATTGGACAGTTCAAAATACAGTCAGTTTTTTTATTCAATCATTTCCTTCCAACTCATAGCGTTGTTTCTGGACAATTTCTTTTGGCAAAGTAGATTAATTCTATTTAGTTATCCTTTTCGTTCAAAATCGATTCAAACAACAATAATAAATGACGAGAGAGCAATTTATTACTAGAGCAATAAAACGAAAACTAAAACTGCAAATCTGCAATTTCCCCATTCATATAACCCACAATCAAATCACAAAAGATACTTCAAACTCGTAATCTGATTGCACAAATCTCGGCCACAGATGATCCAAGTCTCCACCGCCTAATGCAAGCGTTTTCTCGATTTTCCCTCATATAAATAAATTCAAAACGACTGTCCATTTATAAATGGACTCTCCCGCTACTACTACGCGTCACTCTTTCTTTCTCTACAGTTCCGCTGTTAAAACCCCGAACTTCATAAGGCACGTACGTTACTTTGATTCCTTTCTGTATCTATACATTTGTTATTTTGTGTATATAGATTTTCACTTGTTTTATATTTAATCGACTGTTACAGGTTAAGAGTGAATGAAGAGTGAAGTGTATATATAGTTAATGGTTGGCTCGTTTCTTAGGTTCGTTGTTTATTTATTCGATTTTGTTAATCTTTTGGTTTGCAGAATTCAGGTTGGTTTCTGTGTGTATTTGATTATGGATTTTGCTATGTGTGCTTGGTTATGTATTTTACTAATCGTATTACGGTAGCCATAATAAATTCATAGATGAAAAATGAGAAAGCAGTAATAAAGATTCATCTATATCAAAGATGAAATGAAAAGCTTCAATCTGTTGTTTGATTGATTAATTTTGGGCTTTGATGTTCGTTTTTGCAAATGTTTGTAATTGGTTCCTTTACGTGTTTTCTTCGTTTGTGAGAACTTGTTTTTAATCAATTGCCTATGCAAATAGATATCATAATTGGTATGGTAATGGTTTTAGTGTTTTAGAGCTGAGAAAATGTGGAATTTTTTTGTTCAAATTGTAATTCAGCACCATAATCTTCTCTGTGTTCATTTCAAATCAAATTTATTTCCCCCCCAAAATTGGTCTTATAAACACGAGTTATTAACTTGATTATTCTAATTTCTTATCAAGATTTTTGTCTGTATTGATTAGTTACTGCAGTAGGTGCAGAAATCATGGTCCAAGTCAAAGACGAAGAATTCACATTGGATTTAACAAAAAAAGTTGCAGCTGCTACTTGTTCTTCAGTTTCCGATAGCAGTTGTGAAACTGTCACTCTGAGATCTTCTGTTGATTCTGGGTATGAGGTTAAATAATTGTTGTAAACCTGTGTTTGATATCTAGACCATGGGAGCTTAAAGTAAAATATTAAGTAAATGCCTGAGTTTGAGTCGGTTCTTTTGTAGCCGAATGTATATTTAGCTGACTTTATTCTATCATCTTTCTTTTCAGTTAATGGATAGAAAATATTGGACTTCATTGAGTCAACTCACATGTTTGGGAGTTGCTTATAAACAGTTTAAATGATAAATAGATAGGAATAAGTGGTGGATAATTGGATACTGCTTGTGTGTCTCACGAAATGTTTGGATAAAAAGTGGTTTGATCGATTATGAACAAATTATTAACACGTGCCAAACATGGGCTAAATATCTTGCAACAATTTGATTGGTCTTTTTTATCCCAACCGATAAATACAAAATTGTGTAGCGCTGCTGTCTGTTGTCGAACTTCAATATGTGGAAATCATGTGAATGATGGTTTGTAATTAGACTTTTTCTTAATGTTTCATGTATCGAAGAAGTATATCTTTGAGATGGGTGATATTGGGGATTCTTTATAGTTGCTTGCCTTTTAACGCGTGACAAACATGTATGCTTAATCTATGTACATCAACTTTAACATATTATGCTTTCTTTATTTATTTTCACACACAGTTTCAGTTGTCACAGAAGTTCTGGTCGAACAAGACGCGCATCACAGGCAGGATGGACAGAAGAAGAGGTCTAGTTCCAACCTTGACTGTAATGCAATGTTGGTTTACCATAATGAGTTACTCTTTATGGTTTTGATATCATTATTTAGGTCGTAAAGTGAATTTGGCAATAAGAAGGAGAGGAAAAGAAAATTTGAAACAACATAGAGAAAGAAATGAACGTCTACAAAATTTTGTATTTGGTCCCAGTTCCCATAGTTTGCAATTGATCTGTTGCTACGTTTCTGCAACTAACATCCTTCACTGCTGTTGACAGGATAACTTGCTGACGGAAGTGGTACAGAGGTTCAATGGGAGGAACTGGAAAAAAATAGGTGATTTTGCATCTTGCTTCTCGATTGCTTATAGAGGACTTTCTTTTATACAGCAAACTTCTATTTAAAACTATCCTGGTCCTGCATTAATGGTTTTGCATTTCATTTTCATTGACATGATGACATCTGAATTTGATGGTTGTTATGAGACTGTTCAGATGATTTCTGAAAGACTGCTTCTGGTGAACAATTCCATTGGTGTGAGATTATTATTAATCTTTAGCCTGTGATGGGTGGTCGAGCATGTCTTCAAATCCCTGCTGCCCTCAATTCCTGATTATTGATTAATTAATTTTTCTGTTGAGCAGCTGAATACATATCTGGAAGGACAGATGTTCAGTGCTTGCACCGTTGGCAGAAGGTTCTTAATCCAGAAGTTGTCAAAGGCCCTTGGACGAAGGAGGTTCTTTATTCTTTTCCACATAATCTTTGGTTACTTAGTAATGATAGTGAAGATGCTATCATTGATATATAATCCATGTTCCTTGTGTGAAATTCAGGAGGATGATAGTATTATTGAGTTAGTCGGGATGTATGGCTGTAGGAAATGGTCTGTTATTGCAAAGTCTTTACCAGGTCGTATCGGCAAGCAGTGCCGGGAAAGGTTAGGTTATATGTATTTTCTATTAATGGCACGAAGGATAGAATAATGATTGTGTATGATCTTGTAAAGTGAGGACCACCTCACAGTTCATAAAAATAATGGACTTCCTTGCATTAATGTTCTGGCAAATCAGAGGTTTTTTATTTCTGTGTGTAGATGTTGAAATGAGGTTATCATGCTGTGATAATTTTTTCCGATGTTACTTCACTTGATCGACAGGTTTGACTTCATTGATAATGATAGTTTTAGTTTCTTTTATTTGAAGAAATATGAGAGACATGCTTCGAGGCAGCTTTTTTTTTTTTAATAATAAATAGGTCACATTTAATTTATGTTTTACTCTCGTTTCCTGTTCACAGCAGTGCAAAACTGAATTCTGTATGTCATTGTCCTTCAAGTTTCTAGAGCTTAAATTAGAAAATAATTCCTAAAAAACATTTTCTGACATCCATATTTAGTCAAGAGATTAAGGGCATTGATTTTTGTGTTGTATTGATGTGTACTTGCATGAAATGGTGGCAGCTGAAAAAAATATTTATTCTATCTGTGTCAATAGTTCAGTTGTCGTTGCTTAATTTGACGCTATAAGTGCTTTTTTTTGCACTGTTGCTGGTATTATACTCTGATAAGTAGTTTCGAAGTTTATGTTTGTACCTGTGCATTTCTGACTGGGTATGGTACTCTTTGCTTGTATTATGAGAGCATAAGATTGGATTCTATTTATTCTTCTTGGAAAATTTGCACTCTTTTCTTCATAATAAAGAAAGAGTTGTACTCAACTAGATGATGTGGCCGAACCTCTGATATTTTTTACCTTATTTTGAGATCTGGCCTATGTTCTGAAGTTCTATTGTTGCACATGATCTTAAAGGTGGCACAATCATCTGGATCCAGCTGTAAAAAAAGATGCATGGACTGAAGAGGAATCCTCCATTCTAGCTTATTACCATCAATTATATGGAAATAAATGGGCAGAAATTGCAAGGTTTTTACCCGGAAGGTATCTATTTTATTGTTTCATTTTAATGCAACACATTTTTTAGCATTTCCTGCAAGTTCACAAGCATAACATATCAGATTAATCTTGTGAAAGATTTACATTTCCATAAGCAATGTAGGACTTCGTTGTTAAACTTATTCTATTATATTATGCAGCCTAAACTTAGTTTACTTCCTTTTCTTCCTCTTGCTCATTCCCTTTTCTTCTTTTTTTTTGGGTATTAAATGAAAAAAAATAAAAATAAAAATTGGACCTTCTAAAAGGAACGGAAGATTATTTCTTTTCATTCGTGTAATAATTAATCACTAGTAATAGGTATATATATTCTACTGTTAAGGTCACTGTTTATTGATCAAACTGCTATTATCTTTTGACATGTGTTTACTTAATTCCATTCCTTTCCTTGTCTTTGACATTGATAGGACTGATAATGCAATTAAAAATCACTGGAATTGCTCGGTGAAGAAGAGGCTGGATTTAAATCAGCCTCGTCTCTCTGCACTGGATTTGAAGGGAAGTACATCTCCTGATTCCTTCAATGACGAGAAAAAACCAGGATGCCAAGATTATACAGCTGGCCACCAAAACTTTGATGAAACAGTCTGCCTTGGTCATAAAAGGGTTTTGTTGAATGTCGACGGTGCCTGTTCAACAGTTTTGTCCCTTGGAAATAATAGTTTATCTAAGGATCATTCAGATTACCTGAAACCTAGTTTACTGGGAAATTGTGTATCTTCAGAGGAAGGAACAAATAATGTGATAAATTCTCTAACTGGAAATCAGTTTGATGGAACTGGAAGTGTTTCAAGTGATGGGATTCACAAACAGCACATAGGCAGTGCTAATCGTGCCAGGTCCCCTTGGTTCACCAACTCATCAAACTTTACCATGAATGATTGCTATCGAAACAAAACAGATTTTACATCTGACAGAATGTTCGAGTCTCCTAAAAGGCCCAAGTATGGTCCATGTATAACAGATGAGAGATTTGATAGCTCACCTGTTGGTACCTCATTAAGCTTGTCTTTGTCGGGGTTAAATGATGAGAATCTTAAATCTGATGAAAGAAACGCACTCTACCAAACACCTCCTTCTGTGGATAACAAGGAATACAGTTTCTTGTACTATGAGCCACCTCAAATGTATGATTTAGATGTTTCCATGTCAAATGAGGAGAGTGCTAAGCATGTTAGCCATCAGCTGGTTCCTTCCTCTTCCCCTTATCTTTCATTAAGTATCTCTAGTAACGATAGTAGTCCTGAGTCTTTGTTAAGAAGCTCAGCGATGAGTTACAAAAACACTCCTTCAATTATAAAAAGAAAAATTTATAGACAAGCTGAATATGCAAAAAATTACCTTGCCGTTATCACACCTATTCGTACAATTTCATCTCCTTCTAACAGCAAATATACTAAAGGTGCAGACTTCGTAGGAGTGAAGGGTGGTTTACTTTCCGACGTTTCTACATCTGTAGCTGGACTAAACCTGGAAAGACGTCTGGAGTATGCATTTGATCAGGAGTTGGATCCAACCATTGTTAGATGTATTCCAGGTTCTCCGACCACGTAATTAGAGTTCATGCTTGGTGCAAATTGAGTAGACTCCGGGAACTTTTCAGGGGTGAGTTTGTATTCTGCATCGGAACTTTTTGTTTATAGTTTCACTGCTGAACCTTTTGAACTCTAATCTGACCTTGATCTGTTTCACAACTCGAATCAAATTATCCTATAAGAATGCTTGACTTTCAAATAATTTTCGGGGACTACATCAGTATGATCCACAGAGATATAAAGTTATTGTTTTACACCTGGTCCTTGTTGGGATATGATTGTGGGATTATTTTCTGTTTCCAAAACATATTTGCACAGTTGACTTCATCCTTCTGCCTTAGCTCAACATGAAGCTTATCTCCCTTCGTCTCGCTGACCGACCCCAATCCCTGTTGATTTCAGAGTCTATTTGTGGAGGGCAAGTAGTTTTACATAGTACTTAATTCGAGACTTCTAATTGGTAGAAATATTTGATTGCTAATTGATTAAGAGGGTGTTTGGTAAAGATTAAAATTTGATTTTTAGTGGATTCTGGTAAAAGCTTTTGAAATGTGTGGTTAAAAAGATGTGACCTATGAAAGATGTGGTTAATATTGATTGTTTGACATTGACATAGATTAAAATCCGATTTTAATCTGGCCCTAAATATTGGGCCATCCAAAACTTTTTGAGTGTTGTATTCTAAAAAGTTCATATCGAAGTAATTTTAGTCCACCAGCACATAATCATATATTAGGCCTTCTCTGCTTAAGTTGAGAGACATTATAGCTTAAATGCAGGCAGCTTTTATCTTTTTCTCATTTGTCCAGAAAATTTACAAGATGAATCTTCCAGAACTATTAAATCATATCCTCTCTTTTTTCAAAGAAGCTTTATTTATTTAGCTGGTAACAATCTCAGCTTTCAGATATTTTATATTCATGACCTATATTAACGTTTAACTGTGTGGCATTTGTACGCTTTCAACATGCAAGATATATTTTTCTCCAGAAAATTGGAAGTGAACTGCTACTCCATATGGGGCTTAAGTTTGCTAATATATTGTTTGGGTGTTACCACATGTTCAACAGCTCAATTAGTCTATGGATATTTATAATTTTACTTTATATTTGCGCACGTTCTTCTGTAAGATCTGCCAAAAACCAAAGGACGTGTTTGTGAAGGTATTAAAAAATGCTTGCCCTTTATTGTATGTTCACGCAGTTGTGTCATTCATTAATCTCTTTGAGAAAGTTCCATATCTATTTATTGCCCCCCAAAGTTCCATGTCTCGTGTTGTCCTTGTGTTTGTCCTCAACTCTGGAGTTATTCTAACAAAAAGGAGGTCTTGCACTATGTAGAACTACTAATTTAAACCACAAAATTTTGATATATTCTTAAAAGAATAGTGGATACTTGACAGATACTCGAGAGTTTGGATATTACCATGTCAGTCCATCACGAGGAAACATAGAAAGATGAACCCTGTGTTTGGACTGCAGAAATGAAGGGAAAGTTTACACTCTCATTTGGTTACAACAAAAATAGAAAAAATTAATGGAGGAAAATGATCCTCTATTCTCTTGGTTGAAATGATTAGAATACTGAAGCAAGACTTGTTAAAACCCTCTCTTCATATACAAACCGCCATTTTTTGGACCATCATTTTGTTGTGTTGAGAGCAAATATTTTTCTTAGCATCATGATTCTAGTTTAGATACGAATTGTGTATATCGTGCAATTATTGGTTAGTGCTTCAAGGATGAGACTTGCAAGTATAACTTGAAAGCTGGGACAAAGAGATAGCTGTTAGGTAGGCTCTCTTGTGGTTGTCTAAAACTCATATGGAGTATCTTCATGTGTTGTATCTTTTTTTCGTGCATCAATCTATCGCTTTGTGTTCTATTGTACAACTTAGTTTGCCTCTTCCTTTCACATCTATGCCAATATGCTCATCTAGCTTACTGGTGATGCTTTTCTTTAGTGACTTGTTCTTTTGAGGTTGTATTACAACATGTGACATTCCCATATACATTTCAGACATTGAGAGAAATATAAACATGAAATTCTTGATATCACTGAGAATATACGTATGAACTGGTATTCATCCATGCCATTAAAAAACTTTGGAGTGTTTTGTTCAATTTGGACAGGAATAGTCCGCTTTTATTTATAATACAACTACATAATGTGCCTGCTATTTTTGTTCTTCAGGTGGTGCAAATACATATAGGAAAATGCCGATTCCAGTTGTATGTCAATAGGAATTATACAGATGCTGTGCTTTAATCCTCGAACTGGCACCAGGGAGCCTGTATGAACTTGCCTAGTTGAATGTGGCCTTTGAAGGATAAGAAAGCAGGAAATTTTGGGTTTTTTTTATCTACTGATATGACTTTGGTGATTGCATCCTAATGAAATTTTCGTATACTTCTTTTTATAAGCGATGAGCTTAAGAGGATAGATTTTGCTCTTTGAGGCTAAATTTTGGGGGTTTTAGTAGTAAAGGTTGAGTCATTCTTGTTAGGACTGCCGTGAATTTGTGTTCGTGTTAGCATTCCAATTATAGTTAGATAATAACAAGAAACATTATGGTCTATTAAATTGATAACTGCCCTTTTCGAAAGGATTTGAATTATCTGAATAAAAAAGAAATATGGTGGACGTCTTGATACTAAAAACGCAAAAATTGTTATTCTTGGTCATTTTCATTTTGGGTATTGAGTTGATGTTATTTCTTAACTTGCAAAAATATTTTTCTTGGTCATTTTCATTTTGTAAATCGAGCGCAAGTTTTTTCTTAACTTCCGTTTTATATATGATAGAATTCTGCAAGTTACCATATTGCAGTGCACTTTATTTGTGGTTAGCCTTTTTGATGGGGAAGTAGTTCAGTTTTAGTTGGTTTAGATTTGATGCTTAGTAAGGCTATTCTAGCATTGTATTTCTAATTGAACTATGACACCTCAAAAATCGTAACGATGTTCAGTCGATCCTAAGTCTCAAAATTCTAGTGAAGTGCTAAAATTCAAGATCGACAGTGGGATCTCGATTTGTGCAACTTTATCCTCTGAAGTAAGCTCTATGAGATCCGTTTGGGCAATGTGGAATTTAATTTTTTAATAAAAGTATTTTTTCCTGATAAGAATATTGAATGAATGGTTATCCGTTCTATAAATTCAACGTTCTTATCCAGTTTTCAAATATGAGCTATTGGTGCTTATCCTGAAGAACAGTTGGGATTCCTCAAAAAAATATATGTATCCAAACCCTTCCATCATTAATAAACTAAATACTCACTAAGTAAACTTATTTTCTTTTTAATTTTTTGCAATTAATGATATCATTTCCTTTCTTCAATTTTATTTAGGAACAATATCAAATTAGCAGATTTGGCTCGATAAATCGAACGTTACAATTAACAAAAAAAAAAAAAAACTCGTATAACGTATTTATTTGGCCTCAATTATTATAGTCTTGTCACAATGAGAAACTTAGAAGATAAGGAAAATAAAGAATAGATGCACCAATTTCACGTTATTCATATTGTGGCCCCAATTTTATAATGTGGTGGCGTCACATGGATTCTAAATGATTTTATTAGCTACTAAAAATTGAGTGGTTATGATTCGATATATATTATAGGTTGTGACAAGGATTTTCTAATTGTAAAAAGATATTTCTCCTTTTTTTTTGTTGTGGAATATGATTTGATAGCAACATTCAATTAAAAAGGTGGAGACGTAAATGCTAATAAAGGATATGAATTATCTATATTCAGCATGTTTCTTTAGTAGAGTAATAATTCATTTACTTGTATCAAAGTATTCAACATGCATAATTTGATTAAATAAATAACAACAAAACTTAAATACATATCCATTCTCTTTTGAAAACCGTTAATAAAAAGGTTGAGCCCCGCCCCGTCCCGTCCCGTCCCGTCCCGTCCCGCCCTAGAGAATTGTGGATGAGGTAAATAGAGGAATGTGTCTCATCAGGTCAAATTATAAGAAATGTCATACTGGTGTCCACAAATAGTCTAATTTCATACCTTGTAAGATGTAGAAATCGAACACTCACACTGCGGTTGCCAACTCAGCTGAAATTATTTCACTCTTGTCCTTTACTCCACTAAACTATGTCCCGAGGGGCTTGAAAACGGTTAATAACTCTTACCTTATCTAGCCATTATTTTGAGAAAATTGAGTTTTAAATAGTAATTTTTTGGAGAATGCATGGTTACAAAATAGTAAAAGATTTTGAGTTCATGTATAAAATATTTTAGGGAAAATTGCGTCCGTGGTCCCAAACCTAGTGGTGGCAACGAGCCGAGCCGAGCCNTTATTTTAATATTATTTTTAATTTTTAATGAATTTAAAAATTATTTAATAATACATACAAATTATAGTATCAAATGCAGTTTGTTTATTTTTATTTTTCCATTTATTTATTTTAGCGACAAATAACATGACATAAAAATAATTTATCGATTCAATTATTATAACAAATCGGATCAGATTGTTGTCTGATCAGATGGTTATCGATGATGAGAATGAGATGGCTGTGAAAATATTGAAAGATTTGAAGAAAACAAACATTTTTTTTTTGATAACTTGTTTTGACAATTTTACTCATCAATTAAGATGTCATTTGAGTTAAAATTACTATTTCAATGTTGACTTATGATTTTATGGACGAAATGCGTGAAATAGACCAACACTGTAATTATATATAAAGGTTTGGGACTTCAGCCGCAAAAATTAAAGGTTTGGGACCAGCGCTGCAATTTTTTCTAGTCAAAATTACTGTTGAAACGTTGACTAATGATTTTATGGACGGAATTAAGGCTTGGGACCGACGCTGCAACTACATATAAAGGTTTGGGACTTCGGCCACAAAAATAAAATGTTTGGGTGCAATCTGCAACAAAATGAAATGTTTGGGACCATGGTAGCAATTTTCCCAATATTTTATTGTGTATATGTGTGGTTGAAGATGAGTATCAAATCACTGTCTAGGAATTAAGTCACAACTACACCAACAGTCGAACTAATTTTCAGTTTCAAGGTTGCTTAGAGATCTCAAAAGCAAAATGGAACTCTCAATTATATCATCGTACAAATGAAGAAATGTTTCAGGAGTCAATTCACAATTCAAAAGCACCTGTCGAAAAAGGTTCCCAACATAATTTGGCCGTACCTAACTGCATTGCCCGCCAAACATTCCATAACTGAAATCCCTTTGTACGTCATCTTTTTATCTGCACAAGAGTCCTTGATTTGCTCAAACTCTCTCCTTATTTATCACAAACACATCCTCGTACAACCCTTGTATATAATCAATTTTTTCCATATAAAACTTGAAGATTTTCTTGTATAAGTAGGCTTTTTCTTTGTGGTTTTATTTGTTAAACAATGGCTGGTTCTAAGAGAGAGAGGATTTTGGTGACTGGCGGGGCTGGATTCATAGGGACACACACTGTAGTGCAGCTTTTGAAAGGAGGGTTTAAGGTTTCGATAATTGACAACCTTGGAAACGCAGTGGAAGAGGCTGTTCATAGAGTCAGAAAGTTGGTTGGACCTCAATTGTCTCAGAATCTGGATTTTCATTTGGTATTATGCTTTTATCTTGATATTATTTCTTTGGTTATCTTGTGAAATTGGAGGGTCTAGCCAATTCTTGAAATGAACTCTAGATTTCAATAATTGGGGCGTGAATTTGTTAGGATCAGACTTTTAACCATATCATTTAAAAACCCCTGCAAGGCTAAATTCGACCACCGTCGTGACCTTCCTTTGAAGATGACTCTTTTGTGGTTCGAACAATGACCCTAGCTTTAGTACCACTTGTTAATCTCATCTAAAAATCAATTGATGATCAGTGAGGGAAGGCTAAACTTTTTATGGCATTCGACCCTATATCCCAGGGCTTTGTTGGTTCTGAATTTTTTCAATTATTTTCTTGGCTGCAGGGTGATATCAGAAATAAGCATGATTTGGAGAAGTTGTTTTCTCAAAATAAGTATGTGTGATTATTCTGGTTCTTGAATGTGATTTGTATCTATTCCCTTTATATATATATTGTTTTGATTTTGTAATGCAAAATGTAATAGGTTTGATGCTGTGATTCATTTTGCTGGGCTAAAAGCTGTTGGTGAAAGTGTTGCTTATCCTTTTCGATATTTCGACAATAATTTGATTGGATCAATCAATTTATACACAATAATGGATAAATATAACTGTAAGAAGGTGTGCCTTCTACTTACATGTCGTATTCTAACCACTTTCTAGTTTCATGTATTCGCTCTTCTGGTGACTTTAGTGGAATCTGATTGTTTTTGGTGCCTAGTTGGTTTTCTCGTCCTCTGCAACGGTGTATGGTCAACCCGATAAAATTCCGTGTGTGGAGGATTTTCAATTGAAGGCTATGAATCCATACGGTCGAACAAAGGTTTGTTATATATAACAATCATTTTCTTCTTTTAGATCAATAACATTTGTAATCATCTAGTTTGTCAAAGAGGGGAGCAAGCGTTGTTGAGTTCACTAGTTCAAAATATCTTCGAGTACATCTAGCAATGAACTAAGCAGAATGAAGTTTGTTGTTGTTTTTGAGTTTACTTGTTCGAATGGTACATGTTCATGATTTTTGTTAACCCTTTTTCTCTCATTTACATAGCTGGTTCTTGAAGATGTAGCTCGGGATATTCATAGGGCGGATCCAGAATGGAGAATCATTTTGCTCAGATATTTCAACCCTGTTGGGGCTCATGAGAGTGGTATGATTGGAGAAGATCCAAAGGGAATTCCCAATAATCTTATGCCTTATATACAGCAAGTAGCTGTTGGCAGATTACCAGAGTTAAATGTATACGGACATGATTATCCCACTCGCGATGGTAGTGCGGTATGTAGACTCGACTTGTTATTATTGATTAATTCTTTATATTTGCACTGCAAGAAATCTTTTCCTGCCTTATTAATTTCCATCCTGAGTGATTTAGGAATCCAACATATTCAGCTTTTGTTGATAAATTGTAACTAACACTGTGCTTTGAAGTATGCATCGAAGAAAAGTTTTAACTTTAGAAAGCTGAAGATAGATCAGTGATCCTTGGATTAGAATTATGAGAATTAGAAATTACAAAAATAAGTATTAGAATGGCCAAACACAAACAAACACTCCAGCTGAAGGGGTGTCCATCTAGGGCCCTTTTGACACGACTTTTGAAAAGCTAAAAGCTACTTCTGAGACTAAGAAGTAGCTTTTGGATTTGTTTGATTAATTTTCTAGAAGTTTTTGTTCGACTAGAAGAGTTTTTAGGACAAGATAGCCCAAAATGACTTCCTCGGGAAACTCTTCTACAAGGAGCAAAGCCCTGTGGAGCATATCCTTGGACACTTTGAAGCAATCATGGAAAGTCTGTGACATGATTGCAAATGTGGTATGTTCATTCGAGCATGTTTTGATGATTTCTTCTTGAACAGATCCGAGACTACATCCATGTTATGGATTTAGCAGATGGTCATGTCGTTTCACTTCAGAAGCTCCTAGAACGCAAGGATATAGGTGATTAGATTCTTCGTTTTCATCTCTTTAGTGATTTTATGATAATATTGTGTCAGATTACTTCTACTAATGAATATATTTCATTAAAGGTTGTGTTGCATACAATCTCGGGACTGGACGTGGCACATCTGTCCTTGAAATGGTAGCTGCTTTCGAAAAGGCCTCTGGCAAGGTGATTCTCTATTCCTAACTCATAAGAAGAAGCCATGTACATGCATACACATATCAGTTATGTGCTCATTTCTTCTCTTACAGAAAATCCCAGTTAAACTGTGTCCAAGAAGGCCGGGAGATGCCACTGAAGTTTATGCGTCAACAGAGAAAGCCGAGAAAGAGCTCGGTTGGAAGTAAGTTTGTGCAATATATTCTGTATTTGTTCATTTTGGGGTGTTTTCATTGTGAAATTTGTGTTTCAACTTTCAGGGCAAAATATGGTATAGATGAAATGAGCATGGACCAATGGAAGTGGGCAAGCCAGAATCCATGGGGTTACCAATCCATGCCTTGAAAAGCTTGTGTTCAAGCAGTTATACCTGGGGCGATATTCGACCCCTAAAATAGTCGACTTTAAAATCATATCCTGAATTTGATTAGTCAAATTTATCAATTCTGAAATTAGAGTTGTGTTTTGGATTGTGTTGAAAGGAGTTTATTTGAAATTCTTTTAAAGATTGGATTTTGCTTTTTCTGCTATGGATCGTGTACATTTATGCTTGCTATGTTGCCACAAGGGGTGACACCCCTTATGACCAACCCCCTCGTGGGGGCTGACGTTTTTTAATTCGCTTTTATTGCACATGAGTCCCATTCCCATGTGAGTGAATATCAAGAAAAGTATTAAAACCTTTCCGACAAACAAGTTTAATTCTATCTAGTAACTGTAGTGCCAACCACGACTCAAATTCTGAGGAGGCCGCACACATTTTCCACAGGAACACGGGCCACATAAATGAATGATTATGAGATATTATAACATTGCTTTTATGTTGTGTTATGTTACGTGGTCTTGTTTTGTTTTTGTAGAACGACATCATTGTTTAATATCTTAATGTTGATTATGTAGTGCTTTCAGCAAGAGCTGCTCAAGTATATTGCAAATGGTCTGAAATATTCATATAATTGTTAATGAATTCACCTAATACTCCTTAAATTCAGCATCGTTAGGCCAAAAAAAATGCCTAATTAATTGTCAGTCGATGTCACGTCTAACGTAAAATACTATTTAAGATTAAAAGTTCAATCCAATTTGGAATTGTTTAAACCTTAATACTGGACCCCAGCAAGTTATTCTTAATTTGAAATTCATTGACTGACTTGAAGCATGCTCAAGTCACATATAACAATACAAAAACCCCCTAAACCAATTATAATTGAAGAAGGAAAAACCAATTACAATTGCCATTTTTCTATGCAAGAATCATTGACTGCAAATTCTTAAGCAAAATAAATAACAATAAAGCTACTCAAACAGGGAAATCAGACTGGGTTTAAAACCAGACACACGTGGCGGCTCCGGACTCGTGGCTTGTTGTGATAAATTTTCCTATCCCCCAATGTTTTGTTGCCAAGTGTATCTGGATGCAAATCCCTGTTTTTTGGCCCTGTTGCTCTAGCATTGTTCATTATGATAAATTACATAGGGATTTACTTTTCAAGAGTAAAAACATAATTTACATTAGATCGTATTTATTATACTCTTCTGGAGTAAGTGAGATTTAACTTGAATATCAATATATAGATATGCATGCAGAAAAATGGGCACATAAAAGAAATTAAGTAATTTAATTCGTGATTTTACATTGAAATCGATCGACATTCTTCTGGAATATTGAAAATTATAATTTGTGCTCTTCATGAGCAAATAATATTCTTCTAGAATATTAATATAATGCTATGCTACTTATGGAGCAACAAAATATTTATAATAGAAAAATCTACTAGTAATATTATTCTAGAATATTGGAATCAGAGTTTCATGCTCTTCAAGAGCAATAACATATTATTTGAAATAATAAAATGTATAAGAATTTTACTCTTTTTTAAGTGTAAGAACATAAATTATGTTAAATTTTATTTAATTAAATTTTTCGAGAGTAAGTAAAATCTAACTAGACTATTTATAGATAATACGTGTTATTTCACGAGCAACAATATTTTATAATATAAACGCAATGATTAATTGAATGATAATTAATTTTTTTGGCCCTGTTGCTCTAGCATTGTTCAATAAATAATTGCTAGTTGAACCAACACTAACTCACAAGAAGCTAGTTTTGAGAAAGCAGTTACAGAGGAACTGATATGAAAGAAAGAAACGATACAGAGATTTCTAGTGGATCCATGTCTAGTGTTTCCCCTATTCCATCTTACTCTCCGGCGGAGCTACATGTGCCGATGACAACGTCTCCATTTTCGTTTTCCATTGCAGCAACTCGATGGAGCTCTCAAACACCATTTCAGGCTGCCAATCTTTTCCTCCGGTTACTGGCGCTCGTATTTTCCTTTGGCTCCGCTCTCTCACTAGCTGCCCCATCACCTCCAAAAACCAAATCCCCAAGCTTCTACGATGACACAAAATTACGGTAAGCATCTGTAATTATTTTGAAAGCCATCAATGATCAACCGGATTCAACCTTGAGTCGTAAACAATCCATAGATACCGATTGCAAATAAATAGGCACTCATCTGATTATACTTGAAGTTTTAACATACTGAATAAGAAAAAGACTTTTGCTTAACTAGAATTTTAACAAGAGGCAAATCTTAATAGAAATTCTTCTTTTTAAATCTGTGCAGGTACTGCTTCATTGTGAACATTTTGACATTCCTTTATGCAGCCTATCAGCTCTTTAAAGGAATCTGTGACATTGCCCACAGAGGCGTGTTCATCTCCGACATGGTATCGGACTATATCAGCTTCATTTTTGATCAGGTGATTGGACTTCCCATGATGACCTCCTTTTTTTAGTTGGTTCAACTTTCTGAAGGTGCCTTCTACTTGTATGCTTGCACAAGACTTTAAAAGGTGACTTACGATCAGTGGAAATAACAAAGAAAGGATAAGAGCTATTCACAGTAATTTTTAGATGGAGTTAAAAAGACGTTTTGGACTTTCAGGAACAACCAATTTGGGGTGTAGAATTTCCAACCTTAACAATGTGACGCCATCGTGTCCGATTAAATTGACAACATATTTCAAGTTTATGATGATAGTCGTAAGACAATAATCACAAAACAAGAGTCACAGCAATATGTCCAAGGGAGTTTGATACTATGCACACCGTGTTGTATACATTTATGGTTTATCACTGTACGTTTTCTTTTATATATCAATAGTTCAGGCAAAGGAAGTCAACGATGCATGTCAATATTGAGCTCAAAAGCCAAAGTTGGTTCCTATACCATAATGCCATATGAGCTCCCCATTATTACTGGACAAATTCACATCCATCCTCAATCCTATCGCCCACATGCCTCCCTCTACCCCCGCCCCTCCTAAAAAGAGAATAGAAAAGAAAATGAGTTAAGGAAAACCCGAAAGGGGATTCCAAAAAGGAAAGTGGGAAGTCACAAGAACAAATATTGATAGCACCTTCCAACTGACAGACACCACAGCTTTTGTACATAATATCTTACATTTTTCCCTTTTGTTCACAGTAAAGGATCTCTATTTATCGCCACCATGTATAGTTTGCAGGTTACCTCCTCATTTCATCTTCTTCTGTTGCTGTGCCAGTCATCCAACAAATGGACCACGGGACATCACTATGGAAAGCAGCTACTGTCTCCGTATGCATGTCATTTGCTCTATTCCTAGTCATTGCAACTAGTGCACTCCTATCAGGCTATAAGATCTGTAAGAGGATCATATGGTGATATTCATCAGGCAGAGTGTCAAACAGCTTTCATAAACTGTACCAAGAAAAGGATTTGCTATACATTTTTCTTTCTCCTTTGAAGCAGGAAAGGCATTGATATCTGGTTATGAGCATCAATATGTTCTCACTCGAAGAATGTCAAAAATAATACTAATACAATGCTTTTGGCTGGCCAATCAGAAATTTGTTGCCTCCATGTTTTAGCTGAAGAACATAAAAAAGTTCCTATGCAAAATACCAGTCTAGCATCGAACCTTAACTGCTTCTTTTTTCCTTTCCTCCATGCATGTGGAAAATATAAGAGTAAGGGCAGTGAGTTATTAGTGTCATCTAACAAGTAACAAATATGCAGCTCACATCTCTAATTATATAATAGCCTTCTTATCAGATGGAAATTCTTGTACTACCTTTCTGCTTCGGAAAGAAAGGGAATATCCAGTTCTTACAATAATCCTTTAATTTTGTGTACCTCCTAAACAAAACAAATATGCAAACATGGAGCTCTCCCTCAGCTAGATTCCATGCATATATACAACGTTAACTCTTACCTGGACGACCACGATGCTATGCATATGCAATATAACACATGCAATAAATGACTCATCATCATCACTGTTCCACTTTCCCTTAATACTACAATAAATGACTCATCATAATCACTGTTCCACTTTCCCTTAATACCACAATAAATGACTCATCATAATCACTGTTCCACTTTCCCTTAATACTACTGGAAAAGTATTTATAGCATCTTCGTTTAAGAATAAAGCATAGATAATCGTTACAGTTATATTAACCTCCGAAGTGCATGTGAAAATATGATCTCCAATAGCCACGTGACACTAGTCATAGGATAGTTCAAGAACAATTTCAAGTACACCATCATATTAAAGAATCTCAAATTTGATGGCAAAGAGAGTCAAAGTTGGACATGACAATCACTTAAATGGGATTGCACTTGATATGCTACTAGTACAACAGTATTTTCTAGTGAAAAAAAGGAATACAGAAACCTGATAAAGCTTCCATCGTGAATCTATTATAAGATTTTTCAGAAATTCAGAAAATGTATAACTACCTCAAGGCCTCTATGTCTTCTATTCTTCATTCACAGCAAGTTTCCCCTCCGTAAACTCACAAGCCTCAATACAGATCCCAAGCTGCTTCTGTAAACGACGAAGACTTGTGGCTCCTCACATATGGTAACCACAATACCTCTCCTTCCAAGACGACCAGTTCTGCCGGCTCGATGTGCATAATGAATTGAGTCAGTGGGTAATTCCAGATTAACTACAAGATCACATTCTGGTATATCCAATCCTCTAGCAGAAAGTTCATTCGTCACTAACACCCTCACTTCCTCATTACTGAATTTCTTTAAGATGGTTGATCTAGAAAGCTTACTAAGATCTCCATGTAGCTCTGCAGCTTTCATCCCACGAGCCTCCAACTTGCATACAGCATCTTTTAGTTGATTGGAGTGGTCATGAAAGCTATCACACATTTGGCGTCAGCTGCATATACACATTTTATTAGTGTATCCACTTCGTGTTGTATCCTCGTAACAGAGTAATAGTGTTTCAGAGAAGGTGGTAGGCTCGTTGGAGCTTGAGTCTGTAAATTTGTGCCTAGATTGGAATCAGAAGAAGATCCTAACAGATTAACAGTGCACGGGGAGCAACAGATTCAAGTGGAATAACATTTTTGGCTTGGACAGGAAGTGGATCACATCCCCAACTCCTAGTTGCCCTAATCACTGAAAATGGCACCGTTGCAGACACCATGAGAGTCTGACGATCAGCTCGCCTAGTTGTAGGACCATTTGCTTCAGGCAGACCTGCACCAGATCTCCTACTGACATGCTGAATTATACGATGCATATCCTCCCTAAAACTAAATTAAAGGAGTTGATCCACTTCATCTAGAACTATCAGATTTGGAATGACAAAATTCTGATATTGAACGGTTAAGATAAGGCTGAAAATATATTCATTCAACCGTGTATAAAATGTACAATGAAGGTTCTATAAATACAGAAAAATGGAATCATTTTCTAACTAACTTCCTAACTAATTTACATGAAGAACAAAATGCAAAACTGATTCAATACAACTATACAAAAATCAATCCAACTAATTCTCTTCTAGATGCTTCTGCTGTTGCTGCTTTGTCATTGATCGACGTTGGCCTTCTTGCTGCTGATTGTCCTCCAGCTGATCCAGCTGATGTGTATCTGGCAGCTTCAATAAGAACCAAGTATTGACAGTTGTGTATGAAGCTTTACGCCTGCACTGATTTCCGCAATCCGCCCAGGTGTTCCAATGATAATGGATGGCTTGTTCTTTTTAAGAGCCTCTTCCTTTTAAGAGCTTGGCGTATCTTCTCCAAGTTGTTGCACCAATCTCTTATCTTCAGGTCCAAGAAGCTTCTCTCAACTTCTCTGACAATCTGCATTCCAAGCTCCCTTGAAGGTGCCACAATCACAGCTTCTATGTCCATCTTGTCTCTAATCATCCTTCTTAAGTGATCGCACTTCTGAGAGTATAGGAAGAAGATACGCAAACGTTTTCCCGGACCCTGTGTAGGATTGATTCACAACATCGTTATTCTTAAGAATTGGGGGAATGGCTGCAGCCTGAACATCTGTGGGTACTTCGTAGCCTTCCCTATCTAACCTCTCAACTAATAATGGCGGGAGCCCAAGCTCAGAAAAAGATTTGGCAGCAAAGGGAGCCAATGCCTTTACTTCAACTGTTTCTTTCTTCCTTATACCCTTAATCCCACTAATATTAACCTTTATTTCTCTTCTTCTTCAATGGTGGAAACTCCTTCATTCAGTTTATGTTTCTCATTCCCACTTGCAGTTTCAATTTCATTCTTTATACCAAGACTGGCGAGGGTGAAAGGTCCACTTTCATTACTAAAACGACCAAAAAACCGCACACTGCTACGAACTGGAGTTACCCACGAAAACCCGTAAACTTTTCTAAAGGAAAATGAATCACCAACCAGAAGCAGCACCCTGTTTGCCGCTAAAGCAGTCATCTCTATTGGTAACTATTCAATCAGCAAATAAGATAAATATTAAAAGGAATTCATCAACTGTACTTGAACTATTGGCTGAGGAATCTAACTGAACTCTTAGGGACAATATCAGGGATTGAAAGAGGACTCCAATACAAACTAAAAACTGGGCATTCTATCAAACGGGTGGAGTACAAGCCTCAGTAACTCATGTACATACCATACACAATATATAGATATATATCCATCTTTCTCCAATGATATCACATCAAGTGTTGTCTGTCAACATTTTCTGTCAGAAAAAGTACATATTTTTCTGAAAATGTTGACAGTATACATATATATAAATCATGTTATAAGTACATATTTTTCTGACAGAAAATGTTGACAGTATATATTTATATAACTGTATACACCCCCCTCAATATGAAGGGGTTTAAAAACTTTTGTACACCTTAAAGCGCACAAGTATCATTTCCATATACACACACACATAGAAGAGAGAGAGCTCCACGGTTAGTCGATGATAGCCCTTAGTTGGGTTCCATTTTAATAAAATTTTAGAAAAAAATATATTTTTGCGATCCCTAATGTGAGGAGGTGGATAATTGTGGAGAAAAGATGAAGAAGATGTGTGATTTTTGTTTTTTTAGTTTTGATTTTTAATAATATATTTGTGACTCATTTGTAATTTTTTTGAAAATTTGGGATTATGGTTGCAATTAGTTTTTTATTTTTTCTTTTCTTTTTTTTTGTTTTATTTAAATAGGAAGTATATTTGTCATTTCATATCTTTTAATAAAAAAAAATGCATGAAAATGATTATTTCCTCTATGTAACGTGGAAATAAAGGTGAAAATATTAAAAATGAAAGATAGTAATGTTTTACACAATAATATTGAAAAATAAGATTGTGCTAATTACCCTATATACACATCTTACATTATGCCCCTGTTTGACATATATTAAAATTTTCATTCTTCTACTCATTTTCAACCACATATTCTTCAATAAAATAATATTTTCCATAATATCAATAACTTTTCCTTCTTTTTCAACCACACATTCTCCATCAATCTACTATTCCAAAATACATTCTTCCAAAATACTATCCACCAAACACACCATTAATTAAATTACGCTACGTGCTTATTCAAATTAATATTTGTCTCATTTTCAACCACATATTCTTCAATAAAATAATATTTTCCATAATATCAATAACTTTTCCTTCTTTTCAACCACACATTCTTCATCAATCTACTATTCCAAAATACATTCTTCCAAAATAATATCCATCAAACACATGTTTTCAAAATGCGGTGAGTGGGAAACCAATTTTTTTCTAGCTGTCCAATGATATTGTGTTTAGTTTATGTTAAGCACTAGGTGACGAGTACACTAATAAGTGGTGCAATAAGTTCTATAATCAACCATTATCTCTCACCTCCCATATCACATCGAATGTTTAGCATAAACTAATCTCCAATTTCCAACAAATAAATATTTACATCATAAATTAATCTTATTAAAGAAGAAGAAAATCATGATAAACCCCTCAAGTGAGGAAAATCTATCGAGAAAAAATATTTTGAAAAGAAAGTAAGTTGTGCAAAATGTATTTAAGCCATTGTTTGAGCCCATTTTTCATCAAAATGCATATTTGAATAGTGATTTGACTCCATTTCAATCATACATTTTTTAATAAAATAATATTACACACAAATCCTAAACTTTTTCCATATTTTTGAACTACACATTATCCATCATAACGCAATTGCAAAATCCATTTTTTGAAAACAAAAAAAGGAGGGGGGGGGGGGGGGGGCAAAAAGAACCGAAAAAAAAAAACAAAAATTTTTTTTTTTTT